GCTGCTCGGATGGTACTTCAAACAGGTCGACATCCAGCTGCACTCAAAGATAGTGTTACCACCCCTGCGGGTTGCACAATAGCTGGGCTTCTGGCTCTTGAAGACGGAAAAGTCAGGAGTACGATTGCTCGTGCTATACAGACAGCTACTTTACATGCTAGTGGCTTAGGAAAATCTGTACCGAAGCCCACAGCTGATTGAGGACGAATTCGTATACTACATCATCAGGCTTATAGTATCTTGGGTCCTTTTGCTTTTCTCTTCCATGTTGGCCTGGTCTTTTGTAATGGATTGCAAAAACTAAGACATCCATTTGAATACCCAAGATAACTTCATTGCCTAGAACACCAGATGGTCTTCATGGAGTGTAATTCAAGGAATGACAGGGAAACTAGCAAAACATCACCTCCATTGGTATTGATCATTGAAACCCTTAGACCAGTGATATGAAATCATTTTGCCTTAAGATGACAAAAAAACCAATCATGAGACAAGAAAAAACTGAATATCATCCATAGCCATGAGATTCCACAACTAGTTTTTTTTAGAGAAGACTGAATGATCAGAGTCAATAAAAAGAATGTTGAGATGTTCACCCAGAAAACGTGTGACTTTCCATGTTACTAGGACCAGAATAGTTAAGCAGCAATGGATTTCATAGTCCTTTGCCTTCTCTCTTTTGTATGGGTTTCTGACTTGGGACATGGATTATGGCTCATCATACTTCAAGTAAGAATCTAACATTGAGTATTATATTTCATATCATCTCATGTATGAACCAGTATTTTGTGTGTGGGGAGACCCTCATCTCATTTGGAATTCTGGCTTAAGAATGCCTAAGAATTGTCTAGGAGATAACCAGAGGGGCTTGTACCAACACAAGAGGACTAAAGCCCTAAACCAAAAAGAGGGAAGTTAGCATAAACCCCACTGCTCAGATTTTATTCAGAAGCCTGAGCCCTGTGCAAAACCTGTCCTGCAAATAAAAGCTTACATTATGACTGCGCTTGTACCCAATGTATGGTCTCCCTCATTGGTGAGATAAGATAATAAAGGTATTGTCTTGTTCATTTCCTTCAAGGAGTGTTCCCTGAGGTAAAGTCAAGAACAGTCTGAAGTCCAGCAACCAAGGCGCTTGATGTTTTCATGTGAAACTCCTAGAGCAGTGCTGAAGGAGGCACTGCCAATGCGGAACAAGTGTGTGGAGAGTCATAGCCAGTTGTGTGCCACCCATACACCCAAGTATGACCTTGTTAAGTTCACTTGCCCGCCGTTATGGTATCTGAATAATGCAGCATTGGCTTACTTCATTGTCATCAAACATTGACTCACAGCTAATAGCAGGCAAAGGACATTTGGTGGGGTGTTCAGTAGAATCATCTGGGCTACACCTGCTTTTGCTGTCTTCACCCCTTGTACTGCTAGTGTTACACTACTGGAAGCCAGGGAATGTTGAATGACATCACTACACAAAACTGAATTTGACCAGGGTGTTTGTTCAGTCAACTTATTTTAGGTGATCTTTGCTAGTTGCATGAAGGCTATCAAAACACAATCTAAGGAAGCTTGATCATATTTGGGCCCATGAACACATGCATGATACATACAGTATTAAGAGGTGTTCTAGAATTACTGTGAGCTTTGGGGGTCTTTCTGGCGCCAATATATCCTGTCTACCACACATTCTCAATAAGACTGTAACACAGCGCCCCAGACGTGAGAGTATGGTTTATTGTGATAGTTGTGCCAAGTTTGCACCTCAAACAAATATTTACTCAAGGTCTTTTCAAAGACACCTTGATATTTTGGACTGTTCTCAGGTCTTCTGGTCCAAAATCAGAACTCATAAATATCCAGAGGACTAGCAGGTAATAACACTGCAAATATAACATGTTTTTCTGAGGTAAAAAATGATTGGATTTGATGCACAAAACGATTGATCATGCAGATTTCATGGAGAAAAATGTTGAGTTAATGTAGATTTAATGCATTTTTAATCATTTTGTAAATTAAATGTAATCATTTTTCACCTTGGAAAAACACATTATAGTATTTGCAGTGTAACCAATGTTCATTCCCCATAGCGGTCAGGAAGGCTTTGAATTTCCTAACTGTGCCGTTGTATCTGAGTAAAGTGCTTTCTATGCACCCTTGTACCAAATGTGATTGCAGTAGTAATGCTATGGCATCTTCTGATCCAATCAACAGGCAGGCTGTAAAACAATGAAGTGAAAGTGCTTCTGTCATGCTACCCCGGAGATTCCGAGTTAGTCTGGAGAACCCAGATTGTCAATTTCACAGCTTACTTACCTTAGTTGGAAGGCTGTAATTCATGTTTCTCCTCTGGATATTGAGACTTGATTGAATGAAGAATGATTCAACCAGATCTGAGTTTGGATCAGACAAACCACAATTAATCATCTGGTACCTGAAGCATAAGCCTCTTGCCATGTCTATTTCCATTCAACACCAAAGCAACAGTGGTCTCCATCAAATTTTCACTTCATTAACAAACCAGCCAATGTTGTCATTGGGTAATTTTGTCTTCAACCAAATGTAATTCACCTTTTCATGTGAAAATACAAACATATGACAGAGATACAGATACAACAAAAATCAAAGTATTATCCTTCACTATGTCTATTGAAGGTTACAGCTGAATGAACAAAAAATTTCTGCAAATCATGAGGCAGGCTCAATGGAAAGCAATCTTTTTTCCAAACAGTCCCCTTGGATGCCTCTTGAGAATTTTTCTGTGTTGTTATCATCCAAAGTCACTCTTTTAGCATGTGTTTCAATTGGGTGATAGATCATGAGTCCTTGGATGATCTTCCATTCTTTGTCAATCACTTTGTTTGTCAATTTCCCATTGGTCAGAGCCGCTTGTGCTGTAGTATTGTTTGTCCAAACAATTAAGCTCTAACAAGGTCTGTTGTTCAGGCCAACTACCATCAAGAATCCAATTCTGATTGAGAATGTCAATAGGTAATTGATGTGTTTGTGATCATCATCTTCTTCTTTCCATTCATTTGTCATTTTGAATTAAGTCCACACTGTACCAACCAAAACACCTATCCCATATGAGGTAGAAGCATCACCCACCCACAAAATTCCAAATGGGTCCATGCCAACTGGGCCACCTCCACCTAGTCCAAAGTACATATAACATAGTTTATTAAGGGAAAAAACCAATATACATGTACAAGTAGACATAGAAAAGATATGTCACCCTTGGGGCCAGACTGGCTTCACTTGGGTGTATTACATATGCTATAGCAATGTTTTGGCCCCAAGGGTGACATATCTTTCTTGTGTCTGCTTGTACAATTTCAAGAGACCAGAGAAGAGGATATACATGACAAATACATGATGTTGGATAAACTCACTCACACACCCAATCATACATACATATCAAGTGTCAGATCAGCTGGTTCCTACATAAACCTGGAAGTACAGTCAACCCCCTCTACATCATAACTGCTTGGAGGAAAGGAATTTCCATGGGTGTAGACAGGTTATATCTTTACAGGGGAGCTTGTTGCAGGCAAAGGCCACTTTGGGAGATCCAAAAACCTATGTTTATAGGCGGGTTATGCCTGTATACAAGTATGGCTTTAGATGGGGTTGTTTATGTTTGATTCTGACATACAATCATTCTGATAACTTCCCTCAGGCTTTGTTGTGATTTTTGGATCTGACTAAAGTACCATGATCTCAAATCAATCAAGTGTGACTTGCAGTAACTGTACCAGTCCACTCCAGTACAAGTTTGATGTATGATTTCTTTACCCATTTCAGAGCTTCATTTACACGCGTACTACAACACCAACAAAAAATGAAATTATTGAAGGGGATTTATTTCTTGCTACCTACTCAACATCACGTTGGGCTATTTAAAACTCTTTTGCCAATTTTTATTTTGACATCACAGCATAGAGAAATAGTTTTGTGAACAGACATCTTCTGCTCGACAGATGAAAGACTCCCGAATCCAGAGAGATGCGCCAAAGAAATCCTTCTACCTATTGGGTTCTGTTTTTTTGGTGAATACTTTGGTCATGAAGAAACCAGAGTTTCATACCCTTGTATCATGGTTGTTTTGATTTGAATCTTTGGTGGTGGTGGTTATTCTGATGTTATGAATCAAATATCTGCTATATCATAATATCACAATTTCCTAGTTACTGATAATGATCATTTTGAGTCTTAATGAAGTGGATACTACCATAAGTAGCTTGGAAAGAAACAATTTTAATCAGTATGAAGATTATTGTGATATTAAGATAATAATTGAAAATTGACTTGCCGTTCAAATCAACTAATTTCCAGGTCGGATTGATTTCCAGCTCGAGATTCCACAAAAAAACATTGATTTAAATAAACTCAAGAATAAAAAAGTCAAGGCTTAGGTTATACTAAAAGAATGGATTTAATTGACTCACCATCACGCTCAAAGCTCAGTTTTACTTTGAATGGTTTTGTTTGTAAAATATCATAATATCCCAATATCGTAATATCACAACTTCTCTAGTCATTCCTAATGGTCAATTCGAGTCTTACCATAATGAGGTGAATACTACAAGAAACAGCTTGGAAGGAAACAATTCTAATCAGTATGAAGATTCTTGTGATATTACGATATTGATTGAAAATTGACTCGCCGTTCAAAACAACCAACTTCCAAGCGGATCGGGTTGATTTCCAGCTCGAGGTTCCACAAAAAAAGATTCATCTAAATAAAATCAAGAACAGAAGAGTCAAGGCTTAGGTTATAGTATACTAAAAGTAATTCATTTGACTCACGATCACTCTCAAAGCTCAACTTTGAATGGTTTTTTTTTATTCAAGTTCTTGTCTTGTATTCTCAATAGCGCAAAATCCAAAAAAAGAAAAGAAAAACAAATTAGAAACCAGATAAGATAAATATTTACAAATCATCAAGATGTTCACAGGAAATTCAACTTTCATAACTAATTTTTAAAGAAACACTTATCGATTTTTTAGCATGCAGCAATCCCGCTCGCCCCCGGGGGTGGTGGTGGTGGTGGTGGTGGACCTTGGGGAGCAGGTGGGCCATCCAGATGAGGCGTGCCTTCAGGGGAAGGTGACTTATCAGGTGGCGGTGGTTGGCCGCGATGTACAGTTCTATAGTGTCTAGTACGATCACCTTCCCATGCTAGTATCTTCCTACAATCCGGATACCGACATTGGACTTTCTTCTTACCAAGATGCAACCCGTCGATGTGCCGCTGCATATTTTTTATTACGATCATCTTCCCACAACCGGGCCAAGGACAAGGGGCTTTTGTCATCTTGGGGTTGGCAGGATCTCTTTGTCGACCTTTCTTGGCTTGAGGTTCCTGTCCGGTTTCCGAGGCCTTTCGACCGCGCTTACGGGAGGAAGACGTAGCAGGCAGTTGAGAGGTAGAGGCGACAGGAGGTCCAGCTCCTGGGACAGGCCAGTTCGGGGAACCAGCCCCATTTGGATTCAACAATAGGTGTGCGGGGTTGATGAACTGTGGTGGCTCTTGGTAAAAGCTCAGGGGTGGTACAGGAATATCTTCGCTTGGTGCCGCTGTAGGGTTGATGTAGTTAGAGGTGGGAAGTTCGTAGAACCAATCCAGGGAACCAGCCCCAGTGAGATTTGAAGACAGCAGCGCGGGGTCTATGACGTGTTCCTGCTGTTGTCGTTGCGGAAAGGGAATGTCGTTGGATGCGTTGTAGAATGGAGTACTGTAGTCGAAGAATGTTCGGTCTGGATGGCTTTGATATTGGCTGGAAGACGGCACTGGGATATCAGGGATGATTAAGTCGGCATTTTCTACCGGCGGGATAAAGTCAGATTGTAGATCGTGAGTAAATTGTGATTGTGAGGGATTGTGAGTGGGATGAACTGGAATGTCTGTTGTTGGCGTGGCTCTTGCCGGGAGTGGAATAACGTTGCGACCCGGTAGAGCAAGTGGAGGGGCAGAGCGGGTGGGCAACGCCAAAGCTACTGACTGAAAGGAAGCACTAGCATCTTGATCCCTCCCCTCAACGTTGTCACCATCTTCAGAGCCCCACAGTCCATCCTCACCGGTAGCATCGGACGAATCAGAAAACTTGTCAGCCTGGACAGTTGCCAATGTCTCTTGCGTACCTGAAGCGGAACCTGCCGCGTTGAAAGTCGTGTTGTGCATGTTGGTATTAAGTGTTTAGAGCGTCAAAAGGTTTGCAGGTGGATTTATCTTGAGGTTTCTGTTTTGGATTTGCGTTATGAGCGTTGAACGTTGTGAACGTGCTGGAGATTGCGCTGGGACAAGACTTGTCTGAAGAACAAATCCCATCGTCATCTTGCCGTCTTTATATACTCATAGATTCGAGCCCAAGCTGATCCCAACACCTCGCGGTGAGACTATTGACGAAAGAAAACGAGAAAGCAAACTCGAGCTGAGCTATTGCTTCATCTACCGGCTGTTTGTTTACCGTCTTCAGCTTCATTTCTAGAAGCTTTTGAAATTTTGAATTATCATTATTTCAAGGCATGTGAAACCAAGATAAAGTGATGTAAAGCTCATCCATCACACTTCAGACAGTCAACATTTTGTGCTGAGACAAAGGAATTATGAACCGCTGAGAATATCGGCTTCACTTATCGATTTTCCACCCGTGAGATCAGCAAAGAAATGCTAGGAAAAATTAAAAAGCAAAGTCCTTCAAGCAAAAGCAAAAGATGACTTAAGCTTATAGCCAGCAGCACTGTTCGTATTCGCAGTCAACCGGGAAAAAGACTGTCCGTGGCAATGTATGGATAAGCTCACATAGATAATGTGCTCGACTTGCATTAACAATGTGGACATGTTTCGGTTCTTGATGTTTATAATTAATGGAACTGCTCAAAAGTTCCCAAAACAAATCCAAAAGCAGGCCAACTCACTCATTCCATGAAAATAGGTGACATATCTTCTCTCATGACGTTTTATCATCATCTTTATTTCAAATTTCCAGTATGTAAAGTAAACAAAGAAACACAAAATGAAAAGTTGAACAAACTATGTAAATAAATGGTTCTCAAAGAATAAGCTAATACATTAGGATACACTTTTTATTTTATAAACCAGAACTGATTTAAACTTCAAGGTTGAAGTTGAGCATTTTGTACCTTGCAAAAAAAATCAAAACAAATGATTTCCATTTTTGTACCCAAACCTTACTGTTCAAGCAGAGGTTCATGATCAAGCCTTCAATTGAATCGAAATCGTTTCCACATTCGTCACACGGTCACACAGTCACACCAATGAACAAGTTTTCTCAAACCAACCATCGAATTTCCGTATACACCTTCCACCCACTCATCAAATATCTTTTAAGTACTATGAATCCACACAAATTCCTCTCAAAACTGTAGACTTACCAAAAAAAAGAAACCTCACCAAACCAATTAAAATCCAACCTAAATTCAAAACAAAACCTATATGTGGTATACCAATCCCGAATTGCAATCCCACCCAGATTCTAAGCCTTATGCCTGTACTGCACCGTGTAGACTTCATGAGCCCTGAGGAGTAGGATGCAAGGTGTAGACATCCTACTCCTCATGTAGCAATTTACCATACGTTGTGGAACACCCTTACTAGCCCTTGCATCTTATCTACCCACCCACTCAGGTTTATCAACTATTTTTCATCAAAAAATATTTAAAAAAGGTTGTTGGCTTCAATATCAATTCACCAGCAGGCAGTGACCACTTGATTTTTTGAATCAAAATTGAATGAAAAAAGTGTGCAGTTAGTCAAGATTTTGCCCAGTTTTCCAGGTTTAAAGCCAAATGGATGACAAATAACAATGCTCAATCAAATTTGAAAGAGTTCATCTCAAATTTCACTCCAGGTCTGCAAGTCTGAGACTGAGTCCTAACTTTGCCTCAGTGTCAGCTCAGACCACTCAGAATTTTTACATTCATTTGGTTCAATACTCAATGCGGATGTCACTGCAGGCTATGGAACTCTGCAGAGTTCCTTTATAGTACCACATCCCCATCCCCGTCCACTCTATGGAAGTCCTCGAGGCTCCAGTGATCTTTGCGGTTGGATTGCCTTAGCCTGCTTTTACCATCATTTTTATGGTGTGGTTGTATTTATTAACCAGATGGGATGTCCCCCCCTCCAGTCCAGTATGTGCACCCTCTTTGGAAAATCATTATGCAGTGTGCAGCTTGCTGTGCACCAACAGGGATCCCCTGTCAGCTACCCTATCTATTGTCGACCTAAACCGCTGCATCTCCCCTTCTCCTGCGACCACCTTTCTGGATGATTTGCAATGAGATTGTTTGCTGGTCATTGCCCAACGCTACTTCAACAGTGTTTGCAAAAGTGTTAGGCCATGAACTCCACAGGAGTCAAACTAATTCCTAATGAACCAAGTGACAAAATAGGTCAAGTCAGGCTTTGGTCCTCGTCTATAGCCATTCCAATATATATGGCGAGTGAGACTGCACTGCTTCAGTGTGAAAGACCTTCAATGATTTTGTTGCCGAAGGGGACTTGTATATCGGCTACACACTTTTGCCGCCGGGCCTTACCTCTCTGCCGGAGGACCAGCAGGGCACCTTTCTGAAAGGCACATGAGCTTATTTCAAATGCTAGCGCCGAGTGCTCTCCGCAATCACCTACACATTCACGATCAAAAACCACCTGATGCCGTGAAGTACATGAAGCAATCAATCGAGACCAAGAGCCTAGTTCCACTTGGGCTGTGGATAGTAAGCACTCAGAACCGTCAAGATACACAGAGAGTGATTTGTCACTCGCTGAATCAAATTCTTCAAACCGCTCGGAGCTGTTTCGGCCTCAGCAACTTGCTAGAGCATGGTCGTGGGTGGTCTGGTGCGCTCAAGGGCTAGCGACTTCACCGACTAGTAGACATCAAGAAGATCATCATCGAACTCTAGCCTGTTGAAACAGACATTGAGTTGTGAATGACCACTCGTTATTCGAATGAATTTGTCCAGACTTACATATCTCAGCGGACTTGGTGCCAAAGAAGGAGCTGATGAAAAAACGAGTTGATGTTTCCCCAATTCATTTTTGTTTCTTTCATCCTAAGCTCATGACGTTTGGATGCTGTCCTTATGCAATCTGGAAGCAGCTTCTAAGCAGCTGAGTTTCCACTCAAAGCACGTCTTGTTACCCTATCGCTATGTGCAAT